GTTTGATCAATTTCAGATTGAAGAAGTTGGTAGAATTCTTCTATTTCATCCTCACTGGCTTTAGTGGTTGGTGCGTAAATTTGAATAATAGTGGTGTTAACTGATAATAACATGCGGCGCATGGATATTATCCTATCACAGACAGCATTGTACCTCATGACTGATCTGGATATGTTTCTTTTTGACGATAAATGCAACAGCGTTCTTTTTCAATTTGTCATTCCCTACATAGTAAATCATGTGGTTGTCAGATTCTAAATGGCCAATATCAGTCCATTTCAGCTCACTAATGCCTAAGATATCAATGCTTATGCATTCTACTTTATTTTTGATAACTTCTAATTTTCCCAGATTCATTCTTCCTACATTCCATGTTCCAATTGTCAGTGGATATTTACACCTGTTTCTCTTCATTTTGAGTTGTGCCCCATCAGCAAATGAAGGTCCTGCGAGTTTTTCTTCCACGAGCTTTACTCCATTTGAGTTATCACGGTCAACTCCACTTTGAGGAGGCCTCTCTTCCTTCCCCAGTTGCATTTTGAGTGCCTTCCAACCTGAGGGGCTTATTTTCTGGCACTGTATCTGACAGTGTTTCTCTGCTATTCAGTGACTAAAGATTTGGAAGTAGTTTGTCGCTCTTTCTTCCTAGTCTGTCTTTGTCTGGGAGCTCATCTGAAACCTGTCCACCATGGGTGACCCTGCTGGTTATTTAAAATACCGGTGGCATAGCCCTCAGAATCACAGCAACTCACAAGCCACCACAGTATGACAAACTGACAGATGAGTGGTGGTCGTTTGGTTTTAAGTGGAAACTATCACTTTAAATTTTGAGGAGATCTATATGCATGAGTAGTAGAACCCTCTAGGGGTGGGGGTGGGGTATACATTCGCTCAGGTATCCCCTTTAGTCACCAGAATGAAGGTGCGCAGACAGCGAGAGACCAATGAACAGATACCAAAAAATGAATGTCCACACCTGTACCTCCACAGTTCTGTCAGGTGTTCGTGACTGCTCTGATCCTTCCCCCACTTGGTCTCTCCCAAGATGGCGGCTCTGGGAATAGCTGAGCATCTTGAATTAGAAAGCAATGGATTTCTTGATTCTGCTAAAAATTCCCCTAGCTGTAAGCCTTCCAATCTTCTAAATATTCCTTTATATGTGATTGAGAGTTCTAGCACCATCCCCTGAGGCTGCTTGGCCTGGTATTCTGTGTTGTTGGTGATGGAGCTCCTCACTGCACGAGTACCTGATCCGCCATCTTGATAGTATCAATATAGTTGGAAAATAAAGATGAAAGAAATGATGCTGGAGATGACGTGATAGAATTTTGCAAGCCCAATGGATTATTCATTTATTCATTGCAAATACCTTTTTTAAACAACTCTGATAGCATAGTGGTTATGAATCAGGCTGCAAACTGCAGGGTCAGCAGTTCGAAACTACCAGCTGTTCCGTGGGAGAAAGATGAGGCTTGGGAAAGATTTACAGCTTTGGAAACCCTGTACAGGGTCGCTATGGGTCAGAATCGACTCAACAGCACTTAACAACAACAAAAGATGACTGTACACGTGGACCTCACCACATGGAGTACACAGAAATCAAATTGACTGTATCTATGAGAAGAGACAGTAGAAAAGCTCCATATCATCAGCCAAAACATGGCCAGAGCTGACTCTGGAAAGACCATCATTTGCTTATCTGCACATTCAGGCTGAAGCTGAAAGAATTAATACAAGTTCATGAGAGCCAAAATTTGAGCTTGAACGTATCCCACCTGAATTTAGAGACCATCCTAAGAACAGCTTTGATGCATTAAACAGTAGTGACCGAAGACCAGAAGAATTGTGAGGTGACATTAAGAACATCATACAGGAAGAAAGCAAAAGATAATTTAAAAGACAAGAAAAGACCAAAATGGATGTCAGAAGAAAGTTGCTCTCCAATGTATAGATGATAACATGAGTGGTAGAAATGAGGAGATAAAATAGGTAAACAGGAAATTTCAAATGGTAGCTCGAGAAACCAAGTCAGGTATTGTCAAATACAATGAAATGTGCAAAGACTTAGAGTTAGAAAACCAAAAGGGAAGAACACCCTCAGCACTTCTCAAGCTGAAAGAACTGAAGAAAACTATTAAGCCTCAACTTGCAATATTGAAAGATTGTATGGGCAAAACACTTAAATGATACAGAAAATGGGGAAGGAAATTCCTGCATCACCACCTAGAAATGAGACAGTACTCACTGCCCTCAGCCCTACTCTGCCAGCTGTTCCGTTCTGCGGCAGTCCTCACCAAGCCTCACCCATGTGGCTGGCTCTAGGTCTGGTCTCAGCTGTCGGCTCCACCCTTTGTTCCTAGGTCACACAAAAGGACAAGATCCCGTTCAACCCACTGTCCAGTCTTCTGGAGTTACCCAACTCAGAAAGCCTAGGCCAGGCCTCCAGGTAACATCTGCCCAGTACACCCAAGTCTGGATTGTTGTGTTGTTGTTAAATGCCATCAAGTTGGTTCTGATGCATAGCAGCCCTGTATACTATTTTCAAGGAGGGGCTGGTGTTTTCGAACTGCCAACCTTGCAGTTAGCAGTCAAGTCCTTATCCTGCACCATCACATCAGGACTCCAAGCCTGGACTGGAGAAGCTTAAAATGGGCTTTAATCTTTGTCACTTCAGGACAACATCAGACTCTCCTCTGCTGTACTGTTAATGATTCTTGAAAGCCTCATGTTACTGGGGAAACTTATTTAAATTATGAGAATGACACATCTCTGTCTTTATATCTAGGTGGAAGAAGTGTTTAAGGCCTCGCCTTTCCTTGTGGGAGATGATTGTGTCTCCATTATGAATGGAACAGATGAAGGTAGAGTTGCCCAAAGTGTCTTGGTCCAACAAAGGATGTACCCTGAGACTGAATGAAGTGTTTCTGCCAAGAGCTCAGTTGGAGAGGCTCTTCCTTGGTCAAAGAAGCAAGTGAATGATAATAAAATCACTGTCCAGTTCCAACTCACAACTTTAATATCTGAGAGGGTCTTTTTGGTGCCAGTGTTAGAGACTGATTGATCATCTTGACCAACTCTGAACCTGGCACAGGTTCACAGTTTTAAGAGCATTTAGAGACACTCTTCAGTTGCTATACGCTTGGAATGTTGTTACTGTTGTAATTCTAAGAGTGACAATAAGTAGTTCCTTACTGGACCCTGGTTTACATATGACCCTAGGAATTTATTTGTATAGCAGAAGGGATGGGAGCATTTGGTTATTTTCCTTCTTCTTCCAGAAAAAGGAAGCTGGTCACACAGAACACAGGGAGGGTGTGGCATTGAGCAATGCACATAAAGCTTTTAAGTATAGTATCTTCTGGCCACAAAGTTTTCTTTGAATAAAATCCCTCTGTAAGTGAGGGAATGGTCACTTCATTCTTTGGGCCCAGTCTGTAAGCAGGTACCTGCAGACCCCATGTGTCCCACATTGCTGTAGTTAAGTGCTGTCGAGTCAGTTCCAACTCATAGCAACCCTGTATAGGGTTTCTAAGGAGCAGCTGGTGAACTTGAAGCACCATCTTTGCAGTTCAAGCGACTTTGCTGTCCAGCACTTAACCCTCACCACCACGCCAGGGACCCAGGTATCATATATAGCACCTTCGGAATTCAGCACTTTTCTGTAATCTCTTTCTCTTGTAGGTGTTTCCGCTTGGATCACAGTCAACTTCCTGACAGGTGCGTGCACTTACCTCACAGGGAGGCTGGTTGTTCTCTGATGTCTGCACATGTGACTCATGGCTGGGCTTTCCAGACCTTGTTCCTACTTGTTAAACAACTCCTGGGGTCTCACACTGGGGTAGGTGTTAAGGAGAGTGAGTGCTGAGGGTTGGGACGATTCTCCAGCAAACCTACTCCAGGGCAGGTGAGGGAGCGCTGACCGCCTGCTGAGTGTTATAGAAATACCAGAGGTCAGTATCTGTAGGTGCATACCCATGATCTTCTTCCCAGTAGAGACTTCAGGTCCTGTTGTCTGTCAACGTTCAGACTCCAGCCACTGGAGCCAGAGTTGTTATGTACCCCCTAATAACAGCGCATCTCTAAGGGAATTCATTAGCTGCAGCTTATCTTGCTTCACGTTCCATTTTGGGGTGGGGCTTGTAACTGTCTGTTTAACCTTGCTACTGCCAGTATCTACTACTCATTAACACAGCTATGGTGTGCTGGTTTTTTGTTCACACATATTCTAGGCAGTTTGAAAACCCCCGGAAGGAGCAGTGTTGGCATGCTGGACTTGGGTGGAGGATCCACACAGATTACCTTCCTACCAGCCATTGAGGTAACTGGCTGCCACAGGGGAGACAGAGCAGGCCTCATCGAGGCACGCAGTCACATTGGGATAGCAGGAACCCAAGCACCAGGTCGAGGCACTGTGCTCTCTAAGCCTGTGACCAGGCACATTACCGGTTCATGATTTTTGCTCTGGTTCTAACTCTGCCTGGAAAAAAAGCAGAGAAATTGTGATGCGGAAACATACACTCACACCCACTTAGGAGATAGGGGATAAATTAGATGAAATGGGAAGTAATGTGTCTCCTTCCCAGCAGGGCTCTAATGTGGTTCAGAGACCTGGTTCTGTCCATCTGCTGCAGAGAAAGTTTCACATCTCCTCACCAAGCAGACTCCAAAGGAAGCCTTCTAATTAAGACCACCTACTGCGTGAAAAGTGCCCTCCTCCCTCATTTATTACTGGTTTTCACTAGGAGAGCTTGGCATGTTTGTAATTATGGAAAAATTGTACATAAGATGGAAAAATATGCATTTTCACTTTGGCTGTTTAATTTTCTCTCTTTGTTCCAAGCTCATTCGCAGCATGTAGCTTCATGAAAAGCTAACGTAGTTGAATATATCTGTGAATACCCTGTTCTTTCAAGTGAATTAAGGGACTGGGGGACCATATTTCTAGAGAGACCAGAAGGAAGCATGGTGACCCTCCCTGTGTTCCCCAGGGCACCCTTAAGACCTCACCAGCCAGTTATATCACATCACTGCAGATGTTCAACAGGACCTACCAGCTCTACTCCTACAGGTTTGTTTTGGGAAGTGATGAGTAAAGACTAACCAACACAATGCTCAGAAGAAACAGCTGTATGTACGCCCCTCTTCCCCCATCATGCACCTCAGTGGAGAGAGCAGGACTCAGGCACTCAGTCACAGAAGTGCTTCCAGGGTGCTTCCTGCTGAATAGCCTACCAAGCTTCACAACATTACATCTTTTCCTCTTCCCCCTCCTTCTTTTCCTCTCTCCTTCCACTTTTTCCTTCTCTCTCCTTTATTCCCTTCCTCCTTCTTTCTGTTCCCCTGCTCTTTCCTCCTTCCCCTTTCTTCTTTCTCCCTCTTCTACATCCCTTCTTCTTTCTCTATTTCTTTTCTCCTCCTACCTCCACCACTTTCATTCTTCTTCATTTTTAGATTTACTTACTAACTCTATTTTCTTCTACTTTGGAGGAGAAGGGTGGGCCCATGCAGTAGGCAAAGAAGTTTCTGGACATGCCACACGGAACCCTGCATAGTCCTTTTGTAAAGGCTCACACCCCATGAAGAAGGGGCCATGTCTGTTTTATGCACCATGGTGTTCCAGCTCCTAGCTGAGCCGCTTCCCCAAAATAATACCCCTGCCCTTTCTGGTAATTAGTTGAATTCCCTCAGCTTTACAAAGAGAAACTTCTTTGTAAAGAAGAAGCATTAAAGCCTTGTCACATGCCCCCCCTTTCCCCCTGACTCTGGTCTGAGGCCTGGTATATTACTGAAGCAGAGCTCCAGACAGTGCTCAGTGCTCTTTACTCACATTGCTTTATTCCCACAGCTATCTGGGACTCGGGCTGATGTCGGCCCGCCTCGCACTCTTGGGTGGTGTGGAAGGCCAACCTGGTGAGTGGAATTCATGTAGGGGCCACATTTTATTACCTCAGCTTCCTCTATCACCAAGAGGGTGAACCCTGCCCTGGAGGAAAACTGTCCCACCTGCCCCCACCCCTCCCACCATTGCAGCCTATTGGGCATAGCTGGAGCATGGGTAGGGACCACAGCCTAACACCTCATGTGCCTTTTCTAAATTCAATGTCTTTTCCTTGTACATATTCTAAGTCAATTTTTAGAAAAAAGCTGTTTGTGGAGCCATTTCTGAAGATTTAGGAACCCAAGTTAATAGTAGAGTAGCCGCCTTCACTTGGAATCATGTGTGAGGTTGTTCTTCATGACAGTACAGGGCTCTGAGAGGACTGCCATCATCAACTCCTGCTGTTTGAAGGAGCATACAGACTCACGCTGCTCTTACTTTAACTGGGGTGCCTGCTGGCCATTTTGGCTGGACCACACTGAAAAGGAACCTGCTCTTGGGTTAAGCCCCAGTTAGCTTTCATGAAAGGTGTTACTTTTAGACTTGCCCAAATGTACTGGGCCTTGTTACTGTGGAGGACAGTGCCTCAGGCTGGCACAGGTCTTTCCTAAATATCTTAGCACCTCTTATCTACATACCATCCATGCTTCTGCTCACTCTCAGGCCTCAGTTGCTTACTTAACTCCCATCCCCCCACGTTTCCCAGTTGCTCCCAAATGGTGCATCACCTCCACCCTCACCTCATTCTGCCAATAGACTTGAAATTGTCCTGCTCAAAGTTTGGGTTTCCATGCATATTCAAACCCTAGTGTCAAACTAAATACATGTTTAAGCTTCTGAATCACCTGCAGCCCTCACTCGGGGGCCCAAGAATACTTTGTCATTTTACCAGAGTGATCAGGTTGATGGACCCAGGGTGGGCACTCCTTTCCATCAGAGCAACAAGGGTGCACTGTCTTAGCAGGCCACACTTGACATTGGCTCTGAGAGCTGTGAACTGCTCCCTGCCTAAGAGGACAAATCTCCCGGTTTGCTCTGTTAACCTACAAACAGCAGTCACTTTATGACGTTTGATTCCCGGGATCTGCTGAGCACCTCTGCTTGGGCTGCAGCTGTGGTCCAGACACTAAAGCTGGTGCCAGACACTTGTGCTGAATGTTAACACCAATCTGGAACACAGAGAGACATTTGCTTTCTAGACCTCAGCCGCCTTCATTCTGATGTTGCAGCCCTCTGTACCCCCAGTGTCCATTTCAGGGATCTGGGAGCCCCAGTCCTTGTGTTATCATTTACTTTTTCTTCAATCCCCTGATTTCAGCTAATGATGAGAAGGAGCTAGTCAGCCCTTGTCTGCCCCCTGGTTTCAAAGGAAAGTGGGAGCATGCTGAAGTCACATATAGAATTTCTGGAGAGAAAACAGGTAGGTGGCTGATTCATCCATGTTTATAAGGATGAGGGTGGCAGCCAGCCCATCCCAGAACGTGGCCTGGGAGAAGGAACCACTGCTGCCAAGCCTCTCAGACAAGCTGTGTGCACCTCATGAGGTGGAAGTGTGCCTAGTCTGCACTGGGGCTCTGGCCTTGTCTGTCACCAAACACTTTATTCACAATGGTTGAATTTCCTCACTCCTTTCTCTAGCAAGGAAGAACCAAGTATCTAGGCTGAGATGAACAGTTGCATCTGCACTGTTAGCCCAGAATCTCACTAAGGAGCCTGGTTGTGAACAAAGGGAGAGACCTGGACTCCCTCCTTTGCACTTAACCAGGCCCTCCCCTGATCTTGGCTATCTTGAGTGGCCTCTGCCCATTTGGCTGCTTCTGAAGGAAATTCTGAAGTGTTTCTGAACTGTGTCTATGGACATAAGTGTATCCACCTTGTCTGTGGCTCTGTTACCAGCAGAGGCTTCAGTGTGTTCTGGTTCCAGGCAGGCAGCCGTGGATGATGCAGATATCCCCTACATAGAGTTGACATGATAGTGGGAAGAGTCAGACAGGAAAACAGTAGAAATGCTCTGAAGAAAAATAAAAGCAGGAAAGAAAGAAAAAGGAGTGCTCAGGGAGAAGACAGTGAGGAACCAAGAGGTGACAAGATGACAGAATAAAATGCAGAGAGAATTAGCCTTGCTCTAGAGCAGCAGTGCTAGAGTGGGGCAGAGGGTACAATGGCCCTGGGACATCTCCTGCATTTAAAGAATAAGGAGGAGCCAGTGTGACTGACCTGACAGGGAGAGTAGGAAGATATGAATTCAAAGAGTAGAGGTGTGGCTGAGCAATTCCAGGGAGAGATGAGAAGCAGAGGTGAAGGCTGGAGACCTGGCTGATGCTGGCTGGTAGTGGAAGCAGAGACAAATGATGGGTGCTGGATATGGTCTACTGATGGTTTCGATGTGAGTTGTGAAGAATGCATCACCTGAGGGCCCAGTGGAGAGACTGGGTGCAGCAGGTTTAATGAAAAGGTCAGAATGGATTGAGGCTAGGTGAGTAGAGATTCTGTCAGATGCCCAAGGCAGGGCCTGTGGTGTTAGTTCAGCATTAATTACTAGTCATGTGAGCTCCACATGTTGCCAGGTAGGCCTATTTCCTCATCTGTGTAACACAGAATGCAGACCTCACCTTAGGGTGGAATGAAGACAGAGCAGGGCATGTTCATTCTTGCCTAGGCCAGGCCTGGTGGGGTGGGGGCCAGGTAGACTGTACCTTGGGTCCACTGATTAAAGTAGTGCAAGGCCCTGGAGGTGGTCCCAGGGTGGTTGTGTTGAGGTGTGTGCAGAGTCAGTGAGCAGACCCTTACTGGGTTCCACTCTGCCCTCCTGACCCAGGTCTTGAGATGCTTGGCAGGACCACATTTTCAGGACCACCTGACCCCAGCTTTGTGCTTATTCTCTGCCAGCAGCCAACCCTCATAAGCTGTGTGCCAACAAAGTGTCAGAAATTCTTCGAAGCAAAGTGCACAGGACAGAGGAAGTGAAATATGTGGATTTCTACGCCTTCTCTTACTATTATGATCTTGCTGCACAAATCGGCCTCATCGGTAAGGACACACATGATTGTGTTGTGCAGACAGGCACCTGAAGCCACCCCTGGATATGGCCTTTCCTAGCAGTGGCCTGAGGCCTGCTGTCATGTCAAGCTTTGAGTCATCTACATCAACTTAGCAGCAAGACCATGGATAGACACCTTGTTGTCTGGAAAGAGCCTGCTATTTATATATGAGGGGAATTCAAAAGTTTATGGAAAAATTCCATTATCTCTTAATTCCATTTTTCACAAACTTTCTGAAACCCACTCATCTAGATTAGCAATCTAAGGCACCAATACAGACCAGTGTGGTGCTAAGGGTTAGTACACTGGACTGCAAAGTCAGTTTGAACTGTAAGGTCAGCGGTTCAAGTTCACCAGCCACTCCTCAGAAACCCTATACCGGGTCACAAGTCAGAACTGACTTGATGACACTTAGCAAAAACAGTGGTCTAAAATATTTCACAGTTCATGCTGTGGCCGTGTGCCTACTCAGGGAGCTACTTTCTAACAATGCCCCTCACCTGCCAACCACTCCCTCTGCCCAGGCAGAATGTTCCAGGTTGGTGTGGGGAAGGCTTGACAACTTGGCAGATCAGCCCCAGGATCACAGAGCGTGTCTGGTTTATTGTCCATACCCAGAGGTGAATTATGGGCAGAAAAAGATGTTCTGGGTGTCTGGGCGAGTGTTTACAAAAAGTATGAGTGAAAACTCTTGAGAGAGTGTGAAATCAATTTAGTGGCTGTGACCAGGATTTTTTAGTGAAGTAAACTGAAAACATCAGAATATATTGCATATGTAAGGGTTATTGTTGGGTGCTGTCTAGTGGGTTCCAACTCATAGCAACCTTATGTGGCAGTAGAATTGCCTCATAGGGTTTCCTTGGCTGCAATCTGACAATGCAGATTGTTAGATTTTTCACTCACAGAGCCTCTGGGTGGGTTTGAACTACCAACCTATTAGTAAGAGTTGTTAATGTTTTAGATGAAAAGTCACCCAGAAGATAGATCCTGGGGCCTAGGGCTTGCCTTCTCAGCTCCCATGGATCTACCCTACTGCCCGCTAAGTAGGAACTCTGAAAAAGCCTCACTGCATAAAGAGACCCTAGCTAGGGTGAAGGCAAGGTAAAAGGTTACCCTCGCCCTCATCCCAAGCCCCAGGTCCCTCTGGCACAAATGGGGGCGAGAAGGTGTGTCCCTGGCACCCTGATGGAACCTACTGTTTCCTACCAGAGCCCTGGAGTACCCTCATGGTATGCTTACCTTTGGAGCACCTCCATCACCCCCAACCACTGTGGGTCCTCACCCCAATGCAGGCTGCCCCCTAGGAGACCAGAAATCTTCTGGGTCCCCAGGAAGTTGTGGCATGGCTCAGAGGTGGCAGCACAGCTTGAAGGTACCACACTGTTCAGCATAGCTTGTCCCTTGGTGCTGTGCACACCCAAGTGTTACCCACCTGCTGCCATGTTCCCATCACACCTGTGTTTATCTCTGTCATTGGTTACCCCTGCTCTGGAAGAAGACTGGTCTATGTCCAGAAATTATCTCTCCCTAATGTTAATATATGCTAACTAAATGGATGTCCACAGTTACAGAAGAGTCAAAGGAGGTTCTTCTTCCCAACATGGTGATCAGTCTCTCTCATACAGGTGTAAGTGCAGGCCCGAACCCACCTTGACCTCTACTGGACATGGAATTTTGGGGTGTGTCTGAGAACCAAGTCATAGTTCCTAAGAACCAGACACTCTCCTTGTGCTCCTTCTGGGGCTACAGAGGCCTGGCAGCACCTCTCTTCCTCCACAGAGGCATTGCCCACTTGTCCTAGCAAACTACTCCTTTGCAAGAAACACAGGTTTGAGGTTTTTTCTTTAAACTTGGAGAAATTAATACCAGAATACTGATGAGTTGAATGCCACAACCTCAGGAAACATTTCCAATTCCATATTTTCACTTTTCTTAACTTGAAATTGTTTTCTGTTTTTGTGGCCAATAGACCCTAGCAAGCTTCCTCTCCAGGGCTGAGGCTGCCGTGACCCTGAAGGCCTTGACTGGTCTTCTGTCTGCCCATCCCACGTCATGCCACCTCACAGACCTCATATGAGCAAGGAGCCTACCACCTCTTCCAGCAGTAGGCATTCAGCAGGCAGGAAACCTCACAATTTGACCTCAACAAAACCCCTGGAGAGCACTCCATATAACCCTGGAACCCCTGGTCCAGCCTCTCATTCCACCTCAATGCCTTGACAGCTTCATGGGCTTCTGTGGATCTAAAGCAAATCAGGTCTCTGTTGCTATCCCACAGATGCTGAAAAAGGAGGCAGCTTGGTGGTTGAAGACTTTGAGATTGCAGCCAAGTATGGTGAGTGACCGCTTCACCTCCCAGAGCCAGAGAAGTCCCAGATGGGAAGGGTCAAGTGGGCCTGTCTGCAGCATGGATGCCCACAGTGCTGGAAATGGGCTGCAGTATCAGAACTCGGATTTTATTCCTTATTCTGCCATCAGACCAGCATTAAGAGCATGTGAGATTTTCAACATGCACTCAGGAACCCATACCTATCCAAACTCAAGTGTGCTGTCTATTAACTGCATGGCTACAGCAAGTTGCTTAATTGCCTAAGGCCCCTGTGTTGTTCACTGTTGTTGTTGTTGTTGTTGTCAGGTGCCATCGAGTCAGAACTGACTCATAGCGACCCCATGCACAGCAGAACGAAACAATGTCCGATCCTGGGCCAACCTCACTACCGCTGCCACACTTGACGTCATCAATGATGCTACTTGGCCGGTCCATCTCGTTGGGGGTCTTCCTCTTTTTCTCTGACCCTCCATCTTACCCAGCATGACATCCTTCTCTAGCGACTGTTCCCTCCTGACAATATGTCCAAAGTATGAGAGGCGAAGCTTAGTCATCCTGGCCTCCAAGGAGCACTCTGGCTGCACTTCTTCCAAAACAGATCTATTGGTTCTTTTGGCAGTTCACTGGGGAAGGACAATTCTATTCCTTCTCTCATCTGTGAAGAGCAGATTCCCTCAGTTTCATTCTTTCTAATTCCCAAGCCACTGTCACATAGGTATCTTACCAAATTCATGACTGTCCCTGAGTCTGAAGACATTAGGAAACCTTGCACAGTCAGCCCAACGTGATGGTTCAGAGCTTTGTCCTATGGAAATCCCATGGCAGAACCAGCAGCCCCTCTCCCTCTTACTCAACCTTCTCTTCTCTCACCTGCCATCACCACTACCCCTGCCATGTAAAAGTGAAGTCTTATTTACAAGACCTCTAGTCCTCATTTATCAGTTGGCTCATTTTCTGACATTTTGCATTTATGCAATAGTACAAAATCTACTATTTGACTATTTTGGGCATTAATGGTATACATACGGCAGTAACAAATGCAAATATGGTAGGTGAGAGAAATGCTTACTGTAACGATTAAGGTTATGTGCCAATTTGTCTGAACCGTGTTTTACAGTTGTTTGGCAGTTATGAAACAATATAATTTAGCAGTTACATAATAATGGAATTGGTAGTTATTTAATGATGTGCTTTGGCAGTTAGATAATATTGTACTCATCCTTTATTTGTTGATCTGATGAGGTCATCCTCCATTTTCTCATAACATCAATTTTAACATAATGACTTGCTCTTTTGAACCTAGCCATGTTGATAAGTAAGGAATGAGTGTAGTCTGCTCTTTTGTAAATCTATAGGCTTAAACTTTGTGTATTTCTCAATATAAAGTTCCTGACATCCAAAAATGGCTTTTTTTTTTTCCAAAAAAACTTTTATGTTACTTCTGGGTTTGTCCCCACTGACATATTATCCATACCTTTCCTCCAGAGAACAGGTGCTGATAGGAACTCTTGGCAGGTTGGAATGAAGAATGAGAGTGGGCTTTTCTGAGCCAACTTTAATGTTCATCCACTTCATCCTGCATGATTCCTAGGTTTTATACAGAGACTACCTGGGGAGGAGACTGTAGGATTTGCCCCTGACCTTCCTCTCCCACCCCAAACTGTAGTTCTGTTATCTATAAATTATGCTGTCCACCCCCAGAGTTAGTGGGCTTGTCTGCACTCCTCTTTTCCACTCCCAAGAGTGAAATCACTTAGATGCTGATTAGAATGCCCTCTCTTTGCCCACAGTGTGTCGGACGATGGAGACTCACAATCAGAGTAGCCCTTTTATGTGCATGGACCTCACTTACATCAGCTTGCTGTTGCAAGAATTTGGATTTCCAGGGAACAAACTGCTCAAGGTGAGGCTTCTACCCCCCATTCCCAACTCTTCTCAGTGCTATCTGTGGGAAGCACTGTCCCTTGGGAGGTTGCAGTTCCCCTGATCCACCCCATCCTCACTTGGGGAGTGGTCTGGGAAGCAGCACCTCATGGGAAGTGCACTTCCCTCCAACCCCCACCCCAGGTGAGGTACCTGGGAAGCACTGTCCTTGGGGGATGTGGTTCCCCTGACCTTCTTCCCTACCCCCAGCCCTCCATTCCTCCCAGGTACCTGGAAAGCAGTGCCCAAGGGGGTATTGTTCCCTTGACTCCCACTCCCTGCTGGGGGAAGCTGTTGGGAAATCCTGCCTATGGTGGGTACAGCTTCCCCTACTCATCCCTAGTCTCTACAGCAAGTATAACCATTCCTGACCTTCCTTTGTCTCTTCAAGCTGACTCGGAAGATTGATGATGTTGAGACCAGCTGGGCTCTAGGGGCCATTTTTCACTACATCGACTCTCTGAAGAGACCCATGGTCCCCACCAATGAATAGCAGCCTAGCTCTGACTGTAAGCTGCCCTGCCCGTCCGGTAATCACTCAGCTCTACCTGAACATGTTTATACAAGCAACTGCCATCTCCATGAGACCAGGACACCTTTGTGGAGCTCTGTCCCAGGCCCTTAGCTGGCTCAGCCCCTGAGCACCTTAATTTTGTACTTGGTTTTGTTGTAGGCATGTTGGAGGACCATGTAGGACTATGGTTGAGGGCTGAGACCAGCCCACCTCCCTCTAAGACCTGGGGACCTGGGGGGCCAGGTTAAGGCACCCAGCCCCAGCGCCTAGTTCTGCTACATTGGCTTTAAGTGGGCAGTGGACATAGCCACAGGCACAATGTGTGAGGCCTGTGAGCTGCAGCCCTAGCCTGGTGAGATGGCAGTCAGGCAGCCACACTCTGCCCTTTGCCTCCCTGCCATCCAGGAGTCTTATTTTGGTCTTCTGGCCCCTGTCTAGCTTCCTCCTCAGGAACAGACCTCCACCTTCTAGGGAGAATTTGACCTAAAAAGCAGTGAGTCCTTTAGCTTTCAAATGTTTGTTTTTTCCTTGAGTGTGGACAAGGGAAATTATCCTGCAGTCTGGATGCATTGGTATGGTGTTGAGTAGCTGTCACTCTGAATCAAAGAGGGAGGAGCTAGAGCAGAGCTGTGTGCACAGCTCTCATGCAAGGTGATACTGAGTCAATACTGTGAAGCCTCTGAAAATTACTGTTGCTCTGCCCCCAGGCCTCTGTGCTACGGTGCTGAGATGCTCTTGGCACTTGGTTCACTGACTCTCTGTCCCCTTGAATGTGTGGTTACTGTGAATCATGTCATATGTCCCCTTATGAGAAGAGCCAGGTCAGTCAGGGTCAAGAGCTCCAGAGCCCAGGCCCGGGCATTTCACTACAGACCCTGGTCCACCCTTTCACTGCCTGGGATCTGGGGCACTGTCTTGCTTGCTGCACTCGCCCACTCTCCTTCCCACCTTGGCCTGTTCTGAGTGACCTCATCTCTTTGTTTTGCTTAACTGTAGCCCAGGTCCTCACTGCCATGCCTGTATCACTCATGTAGTGAATGTACAGTACATGGAATCAACTGAACAATGTGTGTTCTACCCTCAATAAAAAGTTTACAACTATTTCCTCTCCTGCGAGTCCTCTTAACATAATAGCACCACCAGTCAGCGTACTAGTCCTTCCAGGGATACGCTAATACCTAAACCTGTTTACCAGTTAGGGGGAAATGCCCAAGTGGGGTACAAAGATCATACTCGTAGTATAGCTCAGTGCTGTCAGGGTACCTCATGAGGAGAGTAGGGCTTATGGATGTGGCCAGCCTAGGCAGCCCTGCTGGTGTCTGGTTCGTGAGGGAGGGGCCTGTGGACCAAAGGCTATGGAGTCTGGGCTCTGGCAGGGGGTCCAGGTAGACAGAGATGCATATAGACCTCACAAAGAACCCCAGCTCCTAAAAGGAGAAGGAGCCCACAGCAAGAGCCAGGCTAAGTCTCTGGGTAGGTCACTTCCTGCAGCTTGGTTTTCTACAGCCAGAAAATCTGGGGGATCTGGAACAGTGCAGAAGGGGACATATGCCAAGAGGGGGCTGCAGGCCCACCTCTAAATCTGAAGTGTTCTGTGCAACATCCTTGGCCTATCCTAGGACCTTGACTGAGGAGCACGCTATTTGTCCCTTCACCTCCTGGAGCCTCTGTAAGGCCAGGTAAGTAGGCAAAGGGAACCGTGGAAAAGAGGAAAGGGCTCTGCAGCTGAAAAGTAAGAAAATGATAGTGTTTCCCATTTCCCGAAATCTTCACCTTTACTGTGAATAGAGCAGGAGAAGAATACAAACAGAAAACCTTTCTGGTGTTTGAAACTCTGTGTCTGCAAGACAGGAAAAAGGAGGATTCCACCTTAGTGTAGTTACTGACACCCCAAATCCAAAAGAATGGAGAAGACCACCTAGGACTACCAAACAAAACTGGAAGCCTGCTGCCCTCTGCCTGGTAGGGAAGGAGGTCTTGAGGACTGTGAGGACACAAGCAGGCAATGACCAAACAGGAAGTACTTTCTCCCAGATAACAAGACAGTCATATGGAGACCAAGGCATGAAAAAACACCAGTCTTTCACACCCACACTGAATTACCCTTGCCTTAGCAAGTTTCCCCTCCAGCATCTTCCGCAATTCCCAACAGATTAAATATTTTAAGAACGCTGGAGTCAAGGAAATTTAAAAATGCATTAAGTTAAAAGTGCATATTGATTTGATCTATTTAAAAGAAGTTAGTGATCTCACATCTGAAAAAGTGTAAATAATTCAGAGTTTCCCAAGAGGTCACCAAATAAGTTATGGAATATTTTTGGGCTCAGCAAAATATGCAAGTATTTCACTCTGTGATAATAAAAATGGGGTCTCATCTTTTAAAAATAGTTATATATTGTGGGGCATTATAAACAAGAACTAGACAAACAGAGGTCATGGGCATCTGCTTTTGAAAGTCTTTTACTTCTTGACAAATGTGGCTGCTCCACCATGTACTGGTCCACTATTTTATACCCATGACACCTCTGTTTTCACTTAGGGCAGCAGCATAGAAACCCCCATCAGTATACAGAGCTGCCTCTGCCCCATGATGGCCTGAGGTGCCCCCTTATCTGAAAAACAAGACCCTAATTTCATCAGCCTGTGGCAAGAAGTGGTGTCCAGTCGTACATCCGTGCTCCTGCGTTATCTCAGTACTGATGCTTTAAAGCGCTTGGGCATTTTACATTTTGATGTATGTTGCCAGGTTTCCCTTCAGAGAGGTACTCTACAAAAGCCTCAGTGCCAGCTTCCCTGTTCTTTTGCCAACAACCATGGACAAATCTTTTGATCTTTTCCATTATGGCCATTAAAAAAAATACATTAACTGGTAGTTTTAATATGCATTGGTATAATTCTTATATGCTTAAAAGCCCCTTATATTTCCTTTTCTGATAGATCGGTTCATGTTACTTGTCAATCTTTCTATAAGATTATGGATATATTTCTACTGATTTTAAGAAATCTCTCTATATGTGGAGCCCTGATGGCACTGTGGAATCAGCACTTGTCTGCTAGCCACAAGGTGGTTGGTTCAAATTCACCAGTTGCTCCACTGGAGAAAGATTTAAAGTCACTAAGATCTTAAAAGTTTATGAGCAGACATCCAAGATGCAACTATTGATCTCTCCCTGTCCAGAGGGAAAAAGAGTGATAAAAGTTGAAGACGCTTGGAAACAGTCCACTAGACTAATGGAACATCAGTCTTCATGACCCTGAGACCAGAACTAGATGGAGTTGGGCTACCACTATCAATTGTTCTGAAAGGGATCATGGTTGAAGGTCCTGGATAGAATGGGGAAATTTTTGGAACAAAACAAAATCATAGAAAAAAACAGGCATGCTCATCAGATAGAGACTGTTTGAACTCTGAAACTATATGGCCCTCAGTCATCCTTCAGGTCTGGAACTGAACTCACCTTCGTGGCTCAATTTTCAGCCAAGCAATAGATAGGTATACATGGAGGACAACAACACTAGTGAGATAGGCACACCACAGAATGGTCAACCATTCAAGATCAAAAAGGCAGAATTTCTCTAAGGACTAAATTCAGAAGGGTGGGGAAAGAAGGAGGAATGGAAACAAAACACAGGGAGGAAGTCAGATAAGTGATGTTACACAGGGGCTGGCAATCATCAAGATGAAAATAAGTCTGTGATTAAATGTAAATCTGATGTTAGGCTCTGCAAACCTTCATTCAATTCACAATAAGAAGTTAAAAAATAAAATAATAGTCTCTGATACCCTATATTGGGTCCCTATTGGTTGGAATCAACTAGAGAGCAGTGGGTTTGATTTTGGTTTATAGATAAAAAGGCGGGGGGAGCACAGTGGTTAAAGGGCTCAGCTGTAAAGATTACAGCCTTGGAGCAATTATACTACATGCTGTAGGTTTGCTATGTTGTTGTTGTTAAGTGCCGTCGAGTCGGTTCCGACCCATAGCGACCCTGTACAGGGTTTCCGAGGGTGTAAATCCTTACGGGAGTAGAAAGCGTAGGTTTGCTATGAGTCCTAATTAACTCAACTACAATGGGTTAGGTATATATATATATAAAAGAAGTTAGCCATTGTAGTATGCTTTATTTCAGGGTACAATTTGGTTGTATGTATGTTTGATGTGTTTAAATGGATCAAGTTTCGTTTTTCTTTTATATAAAAAAAATTTGACTTCCTAATTTTGCATAAAAATTAGAAAGGCTTCCCCACTTACATAATTTTTAAAGGTTAATGAAATAGTGTTTTCATGGTTTTAGTTTTTACACACTTACTTAGTTTCCAGCCCATGCTTTTGAATATCTTCAGGGACAGCAAAGCATTGTTTCAGGACAGACTTAAAGTTTTAAAACCAAAGGTCATTGAAAACAAGTGTGATTTTTAAATTTGTATTAAACCATCTTTGCTTCAAATTAAGGGTGATTGTCATGTAATGAGGGGTACTGGTGTGGTGCTGTAGGATAAACAATGGATTGCTAACTGGAAAGTCAGCATTTCAAACCCACCAGCTTCTCCTGGGAAATCCTATACCAGGTCACTATGAGTTGGAACCGACTTGACAGCACTTAACAATTTAATGTAATGAAGGAGCCCTGGTGGCACTGTGGGTTATGCATTGGGCTGCTAACTGAAAGGTTGGTTAGAACCCAACAGCGGCTCCTGAAGAGAAAGTTGGAGCAGTCTGTTTCTGTAAAGATTTACAGCCTTGGAAACCCTATCTGCTCTGTCTTATAAGGTTGTTGAGTTGGGACTGATTCAGTGGCAATAGATGGGTTATAATGTAGTGTGGTAATTTCAAAAATAAACTTCTAGAAGCCTATAGAATAACAGCAGTATCAGTAATACAAATTTTTAAGAAATAATTCAGGACATCATTAACAGATTGCTAAGTAAATTTAATGGGTCCTGGTGTGGCGCTGTGGGCTAATGTGTCAGACTGCAAAGT